TTTGAAGTTCGATAAAAAATGTTGCCAGATGTTGCAGAAAAGAACCCAATCTCAGCCTAGCAGCTGGCTAATGCCTGAGGCAGTTTAAGCTGTGGCAAAGCATGATCGTGTTTTTCTCAATATTTTTCCAAATTTGCCGCTTAATAATTTCTCAATATTTTCTGCACAATTTCTGACTCTCATTTCACTTGTTTTTCGACTGGCCTTCGTCGGAAAACGCGGATATGTTGTGTTTAAGATTTGAATCATAAGTTATGACTGCGAATATTATTTTTAGCACAGGTTGAGCTAAAAAAATGTTACTCCTCCCGACAAAAGCACGACAAATGGCCATCTCTAGCGCTGACCCAAACAGACCGCACCAGAGCAGGGCAACCCAGCGACCAGCCGAGAGGCCAAAGGCAAGAAAGGACGCCCTGCTCCTGTTCTTGATTAACCTATTATGATCATTTGATTGCTCGATTTAATTTGCCATCGTTTTTTATTTTTATTTTTGTTTATTGTCGCTTCTTCTTTTTTTCATTTTGTGCGAGAGAGGTTAAGGCACAGCAGGAGGAAAACTTATTCGTTTCTCATTGATGCTTTATCAAATTGAATTTCTTTGATGACTTTTTGGCCTGCACAATGTCCCTCCCCTCTCTCTCTTTCTCTCTCTCTCTCACTGACGCATTGCATCTAGACAAAGGCAAGAACAACAATAAAAACTGGCCTTAAATTGATTTTCATTATAAACTTTGGTCTTTTGGCTCTTTCAGATTTGTGCTGTGGCCTAATTTTGGTCAATCGAATTTTCGTTTTTATTGTTGCCAATTTTAATTGTTGTTCCTCTGCAGCTGCTGTAATTTTAATAAAATTATACACTTTTATCTGTTTGATTATGTTTCCTATTTGCTGTCATGTCCAACGATTCGTTCAATTCCAGTCAATTATTATTAATTTTTGGTCAGTTGGCTTAACTTTACAACATATGTTTACCCTGTTGCCATCGGATATGGATTAAGAGCGGGTATGCTGGTTTAGTGCAAAACTAAAGAAGAGATTCTTAAAATAGGCGGTATACGAATTGAGTTTGAGTTACTCTGTCTACAGAGAACATGAGTTGTTGGCTATGTTTGTATTTAGCGAATGATATATTGGAAAAGTATCGATATGCTATTAATTTGTATTCTTCACGTTATCAAAATTGCTTATCGGAAATCAAAATCGGAGTACCTATCGATATGATATTAATTTTTAATTGTTTATGTTATCAATCTTGCTTTTTGGCTGGTTATCGGCATGTCTATTTATCGACTATCGAAAGCGGATTATGTTATCGATATGCCATTCATTTCTATTCTTCTTCTTCCTGTTTTCAATATTAACTACAGGCAAGCTATCGGCTTGTCTGGTTATCGGTTACTATGTTATCGATATCATTTCAGTATTGGTTATCAAGTGGTCGTATAAAGTTATCGATAGTATATCAGCATTTGATGTTGTCGGGATATCGATTTATCTCTCTGTCGCCTATCGAAAGCTAATTGAATATTTATAAGATATTTATGTACTTTTTGTCCATATCAGTATCTATCAGTATTTGTTACAAGCTGGTTATCGACTTGTCTAACTATCGGTCATTTATCGGTGATCGATATTTTATCGTAGTGAATAATTAATTTATCTGAAGTTTGTTTCAAAAAATGATTTAATACCGCCATACGGACCACAAATTGTAAACATATTCTTTTAATTTGTGTGTTGCAGGGTATAAAATAAATCAAAAGCTGATTAAGTGTCATTTTTCGCGCATGCATAAATTAAATTCGAATTATTGAACATCAACAACGACAGCAGCAACGGCAGCAGCAGCTACATCAACAACCGCTCAAAACTGTGGTCCACATTGGCTCCCGTCTGGGAGCGAGAGGTGCTTTAACTAAAGTTTTGAGTGCGATAGCGATATTATCACAAAAAAAAATTCGAATTTGCTCAAACTAAGAAGAATTAAATAGATTGATGGATTTCAAATGGGTTCGTCTATAAAGACAGCATCAAACTTTCATTATTTTACCAAGCCACATACTTTCGAATATAAAATCAAAGAATATTATGAAATTTAAAAGTATTCTAAAAGCGAATTTTAATTGTCTTTAAAGTCGAAGCAGAAGTATCAAAATGTATAGAAGACAAAATAAATATATTTTGAGATATGTCTATTAGGAAACACACATTAAGCGTTAACATTATTGTTTAACTATTTAGGTAGAAAAAGAAAAAAACCTTTTATATACAAACTGTCAGCATAAAAAATGTCTGCAAGTGAACGGCCATTGATGCGAACGCTTTGCTTTATTTGCTGCTTGCCGCTTGTAATTCTCAACAAGTTAAAGCAACGACAAGTAGACAAGGCCTTTGTCTGATTCTCTAATAGAGCTGGAAGGCTGTTGAAGAAGCAATTGAAACGGACAAGCTGCAATTGAGCTCTTGTTGGCCAGCCTATTAATGCTAGTTAATGACATACTACGGTTAAGAGAGCTGCGCTGCATTTGCTTGGGACAAAGTTGTCGATTCACCCACGGATTTGGGCTGTCTGAAAACAAAGCCATTGGCATTAATTTGCCGTTAGCTGTTGCCTTAATGCCAATTTTTGTTGCCAACGGCAATTGCCATTGGGCTTTTCAATCGGCGTATGTTCAACATGGCGTATGCTTATCAAATTAACGAATTACGCGCTTCACAATGCCAATGACATATCCCGTATGCGGTTCCAATAAATGATAATCGCACCAGCCAACCAAATGCCACCCACTTAACCCACACACACACACACTGCGCGGCCCGGGAAAGTGCTTCAATGATGGGCGCTGCGGCTGCATCAACCGAAAGTCGTAAATTCCGTTGGTGCCGCAGAAAAACAGGCAACCAACGCGGCAGCGAGTGCAACTGGCTGCTGCACAACAATGCAAACAATGCCACAAATGCACAAAATACGCCCGGTCTGTGACCAGAATCGCCACCATGTCCATACACAGACCCAGACCCAGACCCTGCCAACAGCCCCTAGTCCTCTCCCCATGCCCCCCCAACACCACTCGAACGGCTTGGAGCAACGGCGCATCAGGGCCGCCGTTCGACATAATTAAAAGCGCGCGCCGTTTACGCAATTAATGAACTCTCGCCAAATTAGGCTGCGGCAGCGCGACAAGCAAATGGCCAGGACGAGCACGAGGACGAGGACGAGGACGAGAACGACAACTGAACGGCACTGGATGTCCCCTCAATGACCGCCTGCGCTGCGGTTGCGGTTACCCCACATCAGCCCACATCAATGGGAGCGGGCGCGGGTGCGGGTGCGGACGCGGGCAAAAATGGCGCCCAACGTTGTTGGTGCACAAAAAACCACCGCTTTTGCCGCATTGCAGGGCTTTTGTTGCAAACGGGCAGACGACAGCCGCATTAATGGCCACCAGTAAAACAAGAGTCGCCCGAGCAACCACTCAAAACCCAACCAGCCGACCGTCCGCCCGCCCAAGTCAACGCATCCGCCGCCTAAGCATCGTCTCATGCCGGCAGTGTGGTTCTGGCCAGACAGCGAAGCTCAAATCGCAGAATGCACAAGTGAACTTTAGACGGGTATGCCCGACTAGCAGATACCCTGAATACTCATACCACGAGAGGCTATTCGAGTTGGGCTTGTCTCGCAATCGATATTTATCGATATTATGGCAATCAGAATGATCGAAAAAAAAACATACGTTACACATTTCATAGCGAAATAATAATACTCCGCGCAAGAGTATCAATAAAAAGAAGCAGAAAAAACAGTGCACCTAACCACAGTCAAGGTCGAGGTCGGGGTCAACAATTTTAATTACCCAAACAAACAAAACTGCAATCAAGTATACGACCGATTGGATACTTAGGCAAATCGAAGTGCATTGTCATGAAACCGCATCGCAGCACAATAATCAAAGAGCATTTAGAAACAAACAATTAAATCAACTAGTTAAATAAATCAATATTGAAACAAAAATGACTCGACTGCTTTAAGTGTGTAAACAACTTAAAACCACCCAAGGAGGCCGCAATACTCGTTGCCATGCACTAAAATAAATTAATTTCCCATTGATCTAAGGCAATTGCACACACACACACACGCGTACGTCCATTAATGCTTGTGCATACACATATGTATGTACATGCATACGTTTATGCCGTTGTGTTGCGTTGATCAAACTTAACGCAAGGCGACCCATTCGTAACTGTGCATAAGTGCAAGCGAGACAAGCATGCATACATATGAGAGTACAGCAGGAGCAGGTAGCGGAGCGCAGCAGCAAACTAGGCATAAAAGAAACTGATGACTAAATAGCCTTCGCTGTGCGTATGCACATGCTAATGCATCAACGCTTCCGTTTTTTGTTATACATATGTACATACATATACAGCCTATATACGTATGCAAACGTAAAGCCTTGCCCTGCTACTATTTATGTATGTATGTATGTACATACGTATGTATAGACTTAAAATTGGATAAATTGCAAAAATCGTGCTACTCACTGTTAGCCTGCATAGTTCCATGCGCTTTAGTTGTAAAATAAAATGTTTTATGTTAACTTGACACTTTCGCCGCAATAGAATAGAAACCGCTTAAACAAGCTGCAATCAAATTATGTACATACACATGTATGCATTATTATTATTTTGCGTATTCACAAGTGCAGCAACTTTGCCCGGGGCCCAAAACCGTAATGGGCAACTTTAAATGCCGCTGCTTAACACGCAATTCAATAATTTGTGGTCAATGTAATCAATTTAATTACAGCGCCAGGCAAAAACTCATGCACACGCACACGCACACGCACGCACACAGATGCAGAAAGCACCGTTGGTCAATAGCCCGCCCAAACGAAAGAAAGAGTGCGCGCACACACACGTTTGTTGTTCATATTTTTCTTGCAATTTGTTTTTGTTGTTTTTTTTTTTCTTTTTTATTTTCACTGTTTATTTTGCAGTTTCTTTTCATTCAATATCAATTCGCTTCTTCTGCACACAGAACTTTGCAATTTCACTTCACGTTTTCTCTTCTAACTTTTTCTTTGCAAGCAAGCGAAAAAAAAAAAATTACTTAAATACAAAAAAAAAAAAAATAATAATATAATAATGTACATAGTTGGTATAAATTTACAGCATTTGCTTTTCTCTTTTTAGTTTCGTTTTTGTTTTTGTGTTGTTTATGTTTTGCTTTGCCCCACAGTAGGTGAATGCCTTGGCTTAGTTGCCGTTCAAAGTCGAACATGCAGAAAAATCAATGAATGCAATAAACCGAATAGGAATAATAAAGAGAAGTCGCCAGAAACTTCAGCTTAAAGCAAAATCAATAAATTAGTGCACAAACTAAGAAAACAAAACGGAGAAGAAGAATTATATAAAATATATGACTGAGTGCGCTACACCTCACAAATGCTGCTATTGCTTTAGTTTTCCTTCTTCTCAGTTGCCGTTGGCATCGCTGCGGCTGCGGATGCGGCTGCTGGCGTCGGCGTCGGCGTTGGCGTTGCCGTTGGCGTCGTCGTCGCCTGCGTTGGAGTCAACGACGTCGGCGTCGTTGTCGCTACCTGCGAGCTGCCCGAAAGGTCCAAGTCGCTGGCGCTGTTCTGTTAAGTGTTGAAAAGGAAAACGAGATTAGAGTTGAAAAACTTTCAACTGAGCTCGATGCGTTTATCGATAGACTTTAACTGTGTCGATTTTAAATACGAGATATGATCCGTTGGATTGTCAGCGAGTTATTTGCAACATAAGTTGACATATTTAACGTTTGTTTTTATTATAAATAAATGTATTTCAAAATCAACGTTTCAACGTTCAATAGCAACCTCTTTAAATGTACCGTTGTGAAGTTGTCTGAAGTTGTTTCGTTAATCGAATTTTGAAGTGTTAGAAAAGGCAAATTATGTTGAACTTTAGCATGTATATTAATTAAAATTTCAAGTTCAATAGAGTATATTTAAGTAATAATATGTTTTACTAAACCTTCAACCTTGGACCGTGTGCTCGATTTTTGCCGCGTAATCAAACATTTTGAAGTACTTAGTATTGTATATGTACTTGGTTTAAATATAGCTGATATATACAGTAAAATCTCTGTTAAAGGACACTCCTCAAAACCCACTTCTCTTGAGTAAAAACTTGACCGACAATCGCTGTCCGCCAAAGAGCAGTATTCACTGTATATCGAATGCAATCCCTTCACTCACCTTCATCTCCTTGCGCAGCTTCATGGACTTGCCCATGCTCTGCAATCGATAGCGCTCCTTGGAACGCTCGCGTATTTTCTCGGGCACCACCCACAGTGTGGTGGCCGTATTGCCCACAAAGAGCAGCAGAAAGAGCCCGCACATGACGGACACATGCCAGGGTGCATCTGGCGGATAATAGGCCAGCTTGAAGAGCGTCCAGGCGTTGTAGGCCTGAAAGGCGTAGCCAATGAAGAGGAACGGCAAAAGGAAACTCAAGCCGCGCCACATCCACGAATGAAAGCCCTCAATGGTAATGTCCATATTGTGGCGCTCGCCCAGAGCCTTGAGCCGATAGAGCAGACCCTTCTGGTAGCCAAACTGCAAATACTGAACAATGCCTGCAAGAAATGCCGATGACAAAGCGTTGCACGTTGAACGGTACACACAGCTGCACATGTGCATGCATCAAATCAAATTGATCCGCTGGCGGTTTACTCACTGATGTAGACATTAAAGTACATGAACTGCAGACGAAACAGCTGCCAGTGCTCGCCCTGTGGCCAAATGAGCAGCACGCCGGCGGCGACCGTTGAGATGAAATGATGGGCGCGCCACCAGCCCTTGATCCGGGAACCGTTCACCTTCAGTATGGACTCGCGTATGGTCAGCGTGCAGTAGTACCACACTAGCAGGAATATGAAGGACAACTCCAGAGCTCTGGACGGGATGGGATTGGAGGGGCGGGGGGTGCAAGCAAACGTTTCATATCAGTGTTGTTTGTAACTAAACTAATTTACTCACCTGTAGTTGAATATCAAATTGAAGAAGGCCATTATCAGTCCAATTACGTTGAGTATTAATTTAAACTTTTCATAGTCATCTTTGTAGCGAACTTTGTCGTTTCTGTTCAAAATTGAGACGTTCACATCGCCGAGGATAATCTATGGACAGAATTCATAGCAATAATGTACACACAAATTGGACAAGTACCGGGGGGGGGGAGGAGGTTAACTTATTTGTTCAACAAGTGCGAGCGCAAAAGTTTGTGGAAAATTCAATTTGACAGTGTGACCAGCTTACCTGCAGATAGCGACCAGATTTTGCCGGCAGCGATTGCTCAATTTCGTGCAGCTGCGCCTTCCGTTTCAGCGACATCTTTTGCAGATCGTCAAGCTTCTCCTTCTCCTCACCACCGATGGGTCCTTTGTATCTGTAATTTAAAAATTTGTTTAATTCTTTTATTTTTTTTTTAGCTGATCAGACCTGAACATGCAGTACGCTGGTTCAAATCCCAAGCGAAGCACTTTAAAAGCTCGACCAAATACGCTTACGATATTGCTGTCCATGCTTGGCAGGACCGATTATTCCTGTCTTAACTATATGATCTATCAATCTGATAATTTATGTCGAATTTAGCTAAGATTTCCTCATACAAGAGCCGCTTTTTCGATCGATTATTCCGATATTAGCCATATGATTAGGTTAGTTGTCAGATGTTGATAAGATTTCGAACAGAGAATAGGGATGTGCCTTGATAAGCAAAAAAGTTGCTCGCACAGATACTGATCAGAAATATATATGTATATATATATATACCTTATGTGGTATTATTTCCAGACGGAGGCGTTTTTATAGAAAACATGTAGGAGCTCTTATAAGTCATATATAGCTTTGTTCATAGCTCCCGATTGGTACTATAACCCCCCCCCCCCCACACACACACACCCCCGCATCTAAGCTAGATATACTTGTTTGGCAGTTTCCAATTTTATGTGAACTTTCAACTCGAGAAATTGAGGTAGTTGGCTTGTTGGTTGGGGGTCAATAGGTTCCATGTCGCAAATGCTTTGCCATTTGCATAAATAATATATTTATAATTTCGAATGGGTGGCCGAAGGGGGTGGGACGGGAGCAGCGGCGGGGGTGGGTAGGAGGTAGCGGTACGAGAGGCTATTCGAAAAGCTGGCCAGCGACGATATCAATTATACACACGGCACACGGCAATTTTAATTTTCCCCACGTCAAAGTTCAATTTAGACATAATTGATGGTTATACACACACACACACACACACACACACACACACGCACACACACAGGCATACTATATACTCGTGTGTATATGTATTTGTTTTGGGTACATTCCTATTTTGTTGTTTATTCGCATTGCTGGCATTTTATCAATCGCTTGCATAATTCATGTTTTTATTTTTAAACATCCAATAAACGGTATACAAAAAAATAAAAAAAAGAAAAAAGTTCGACACCTGATAAGCGACAAACGATGATACGTGGGTAAAAGAAGAAGTAGAAAAAGAAGAAGAAGAAGAAGAAGAAGCAGCGAAGGCGAATACCTGCGACAAATTGAGGAAAGTACTCGAATGTGTATTTACGTTAACTGATAATGGCCAAATATGCTAGTTGGTAAACATATATAATCGGGGGGCTTGTTGTTGATATATGGCCAAGAGATTTGCCAATTCCCGATAGGTGTTATGCAACGGGCCGGAAGTTCAGGCCAAGAACAGAACGACTGCAAAGTTGCCCAGCAGCTGAGCTGTGTGAGAGCGTGTTTTTGATATAGATTCGATTTATATGCAAACATTAACTAAAAATAGTTGCCTCTATTTTCATATTGAACCGCCCCAAAGTCGCGTCTGAAACGCGCGCGAGTCGCCGCTTGGCGGACTCGGCAAAGAGCCCGACTAGGAGATACCCTAAAGCTCAGCGACATTCACACAAATACACAGGCTTCCATGCAAGCCAACAAAAAAGTCGCTGGTTCAGTTCGCGCTGGTTGAACCAGCAACCAACAATTTCTGTTATTCAACATGATTTTTGTTAACTTTAATTGCAGAGTTGATACGCAAAACTATCGTATGCGTTTAGGGTTGCATTTTAGTGTGCATCGCGGCGAAATCCTATTTAACTATTGCACAAGCGAGCTGCATTAAGACAAGCGGCTTGCGCAAACTGGGCTCTAACAATTTGCGCAAGTGGCTCGTGTTGTCTGAACGAGCCTAAAAAAAAACCAATGAACGACAATAACAGCAGCAGCAACAACAACCGGTAATTACACACATGCACACACACACACACACACACACACACACACACAGAAACACAACGTATGTATTTGCATTTGTCAATTAAAATTAATTTTGCAATAACGTGAAACGCCCTTTTAGCTATGCATTTGCAGTGTTTTGTTTATAATTTGAATACTCTCTTCCTCTTACTTTGTTTTTATAGTATTTGTTGACAATCAAAAATCATATTTCCGTTGCATAATTTGTGCGTTGAGCAAAGCTAAGCGCAAGGTCACCGAATCGGAGGCAAAGAAACATTAAAACGCGCGCGACTAAAAACGCGCAGGCAGCAAAATCCATACATATAACTGTTTAAGTGCGACGATGCTCGCAAGCGTTAGAGCGAGTGGGAAGACAAGAGTGCCGCGCTCACAGCATTCGTATGTGTGCTCTTTGCTGATCATTGACACACATACATATGCATATGCATGTAGAGCCCGCAAAAACTCCACACTGTTATAACAACAACAACAACAGCAACACCAAAGTTAACCACTAGAGGCTGGCCTTGCCTGGCTGCGCGCACAGTGGGCCGCAATTGCTTTGTATGTACACAATTCGGATACGTTTGGTTAAAATAACGAAAAGCAGCATATAATATAAGGTGTGGAAAAAATTTGCAATTATCATTATTATTAAAGATCAAAACGATTTTGTTGCTGATATTTCAAGAAATTATATAGCAAAATGTTTAATATGTGCACAAATTGACTTGGACCTTTTCTTTGTACATACAAATCGTATTTGCCCCACTGTGGAACAGCTGGTCATTCAGTTAGTTTTGTTTATTTTTATTTATTATTTTTTGTTTTTTTTTTTTGTTTCTGTTTTGCGTGTCGCGTTTACAGTTTGCTGGCGTTTTAGTTTACGCTCCATGCAACAGCACAGGGTCAAGGGCAGCTGGTCGGTAAAGGGAGCGAGTGTGTAGTTGGAGCTGCTGCAACTTGTCGAACGAAGATGGGTGAGTGGCCAGATGGGAGAGGGGGAGAGGGAGGCCTCTAACCGGGCAAAGGTTCGCTGTCAATTTCAAAATAAACAATTTATGACATTGGCTCTGCGCCTAAGCACACCAAACGCCAGTTCAGGCACAAAGTCTACGTGTAGTTTTTTATCACAGGTTTTATCAGAAGAAACACAGCTGTAAAAACTAATTGGAACCCGGCTACAACAACTAACTAAAAGAAATGCACATACATACATATATAGTACACTTCTTGATATGGCTATACAGCTGTTGACGCCAGTTGGTCCGAGTTGATAAGGACACCTTCCTGACTAATTGCCGCCATACATGTGTTTCGCAGTTTACTGATAAGCGACAAGAACTGAGCGTATATGCATGTGTGCCTGTGTGTGTGGGCACGAATCCAATTGGAATACCTGGTTCGCAACGGTAATTGATTGAGATCAAATTCCAACTTAAGAACTTTAAAGGGGGGGGGGGGGGGGGGGGGGGTTGTTGTTTACATTTGCGATGTACCGTGTATTTGCATTTGAATTGCACAGAGATGCAGACTCGACACGGCACCGAATACAAAATTTGTTAATGGCCGCAAAGTTGCAATGAACAGTTAACTGCACATTTGTTTATTTACACGGCAAAATGGCAAATGTCATAAAGAAAAAAACATCAGCATCAAAGATGACGAGCTATTTGTTGTCTTTAAATAGGCAAATAGAAAATGATCAATTTTTTACATATCAAGAAAAGTTCGTGTCACGCGGCCATCTCTAGCTAAAACCAGCTGCAAGTCATTGCATACATACATACCTAAGTTGATATTAACATATGCATGTATGTATGTGCATGTGCTAATGCAGAGAATTATATAAGGGTTGGCTTTTCTGTATGTACAGACATGTATCTATGTATGTACCAACTTGTGCGTATGTATATAGTTATTTATATAGATGTAGATATAGAATATCTATATATGTACTCACTGTCGCACAGAGGCCGTTATTTGATTCATACGATAACGTTGATGTTTGATCTCGTTGAAGCATTTCTGTTGATGCTGCTGCAGCTGTTCCAGCAGCTCCATGTAGCGTCTGTTGCATGTCTGCAAAGATAACGGATGGGTTGTTAGACTGTTATAAGCAGCTGTTTCAAGGTGAAAACATTAGCATAGACAACAACAACAACAATAACTCACCTCGAGTTCGGTGTATTCTCGATTTAGCTCATCCCATTCATTGCGCAGCGTCTCGATGTCCATTTTTATGATTTGTTGTTATTTTCTTTGCTAGACGCGCTTTACACGATGTCTGTTGTATGCAACAGCTGTTTTGAGGTTAGGGTCTATGCTGGCTGTGGTGAAGAGACAGAGAGAGAAAGAGAAAGGGGGGGGTTGTTGTTGAAGCGGTGGGTACAACCACTTGCCGGCTGTTGTACGAGGAAGGGGGAATGGGGGGGAGGGGACGTCACCAAAGTTACCAGCGTTCGCTGCCAAGTATTTTGGTGAAAAATCAATTGGCCGCAACGCACGCAATTCGCCACAATTTCTATTTCGCTCTTGAGCACAGCCGCAGCGAATAATAATGGAACGTGTTTGGACACAAATCAACTTAATGGGATACACTTCAGTTTAAGCACCTGGAATTGAAAATTATTTCGCGATTCTGTTGTTTTGTTTAAAAATAAATTTGAGCGGAGCAGCGACGCTTATGCCGTGCGGTAACTAAAACTGAACTGAACTGAACTGAAACAAACACCGAACACTGAATAGCGGCAGCGGCGATCCAATTGGCGGTGGTGGCGGCAGAGAAGCGCGCGCGACGTTGTGGTTGATCTGTGGCAGCGTGTACTGCAGCAGTGTGCTGCCCGGCAGTTAATTTTAACTACTTAAGACTTAGTTTGGCGACGCCAATTTAGATTAGAGTCAAGTTAAACACAAACACAACAAACGACGGGCCACAGCAGCCAGCCAGCCAGCCCAGCCACACACGCATTCACTCACCAAACAATATTCTGCGCTGGCTTGCCAACAACAAAAACAGTGCGAGCGAGCAGAGGCGCCAGCAGAAGCTTGCTTGTTGCGTCGTACTTCGGTTTATGCAGTTGTCTCGCTCGCTCATTTGCTTGTATTGCTATCTTGTGCTAACGTACGCGCTGTGCCGTCGCCAGCGTGCTTGGCTATGGTGAGTTCCACTTCAATGGTGAAATGAGCCACACTGGTGAGTAAATAAAAGCGCGCTTTTCAAATTTATACAATTACATGTGTAGACTGAGTTTTTAATAAGACAATTTTAGTTTCGTTGTGTACATAAAAAAGCTTTAATTTTAAATGCCAGGCCTACTAACAGTAAATATAGTTTTTATTAGCAGTTTTGTGGTCTTGGGGCTAGACGAATTATAAAAAAATATATATATATATATATATATTTATATTAATATACATATGTTTATAATCATAAATGTATGCATATAAAAGTATTACTCCTTGCGCCTGGCACGCAATCGCAGCGCCAGGTAGGCAAACCCGCGAAAGCCTACAATCAGCAGGGCCAATCCCACATAATCGAGCGGTAAATCATCGACGGAGAAGTTAAGCGTTTCCAGTATAACCTTGCCGGAGCCGGGGCACGTTGTGTTCGAGGAGGTGCAACTAATTTCGCCGGGCTCCACATCGGCCCACTGATTGATAAGCAGGCCCTCGTTGGCATAACGAAACCAGGATAGGTAGGACAACCATTTCAGGTAAATAGGCACCGAGCCCGAGTTGAGGAAGAAGCCACCAAAAAGCAAGAATGGTATTATGACCGGCGGGCCCACCGATAATGCCATCGATGTCGAGGAGCTAGCGCAGGATATCAAATAGCCAAACGAGGTGGACACATTGGCCACCAGTGTGACCAGCGCCAGGCAGTTGAAAAAGTGCAGTGCTCCCGCACGCAGGCCAATCATCGGATACGCAATGGCCGTAAAGACGAGCGGCACGGTCAAAAAGAGCGGCAGCTCGGCTATGGTCTTGCCCAGAAAGTAGGTGTCGCAGCGGTAAAGGCGACTGCGCGACTCCCGCATAAAAACCGGCAGCTCCGACGTAAAAACCTGCAGCAGGAGCAGAGAAAGAGCAAGTTGCAGTCAAATGGATTAGACGCCAGCTGCTGCACTCACATTGATGGTGGCAAACACATTCTGAAAGGTCATGTTGGTCAGGAAGAGAAATATGGCTCCGTTGATGTTCATCACGCCCACCTGCGTCAGTTGCTGGCCCAGAAAGATGAGCCCAATGAGCACGGCAACCATCTGGAATGGATAATGCACAGATTAAAGGCTCAATTCGAGCTGTTCATGGAGGCCGACTCACCGTGGTCTGTATGAGTCGCACTTTGACCAGCAGCGGCTCCTTCAGCACGGATAGCCAGGAGCGCCAGAGCACGGCGCGGAACTGCATAAACCATGTGGCCTTGTAGGTATACCCGTTCTCGGGCTGCTCCAGCGGCTGCGTCTGCGCCTTGGCGGCCAGCAGCTGTTCCATATCCCGCGCCACCTTGCTAATGGCAAAGTTATCGCAAATCTTGGCAATGCGCTCGCGCGACTCCATCTCGCGACCTGGCACAATGGCCAGCACCTGCACATAGAAGTCGGCCGGATTGTAATTGGTCGGACACTGGGCGCCCACACTGCGGAGAAGAGAATGAAGCGAACGAAATTTGGGAATAGAAATCGATATCGAGCTCTCCGATTTTATTTGGAGTATATAAGTTCCTGTTCACGCGAAAGTTGCAGCTCGCAATCCGTACCGAACCCTAATTTTGTAAGGAGTATATAAGTTCCTGTTCAGCATCAAGAGCTGCTAGATCGATATCTTGGATTCATTAATCGATATAGATATCGATATCCGACATATTGCATCGAAAATATCGATATGAAATTTTAATTTCTTTCTTGAGATGATTTCAAAGATGCAGCTCATAAAATAACACAGACTGGGATGGTCTTCGACTTGGTAAATACTTAATTTATAGCTGGATTCGAGCTAGGTTTCACGTCCTGCATTATTGGAAGTATTGGAAGTCTTTGGCCAGCTACTTACCATATAAGCGAATACTTACTAGGAGAAGAAGTCGACTGCCTCGCTGGGCGTGCCAAGGAAGGCGACGCGTCCCTCGGCGATGAGGAGTATCTTGTCGAACAGCTCGAACAGCTCCGAGGAGGGCTGATGTATGGTCAATATGACGGTTTTACCCTTCTGCGACAGCTTCTTTAGCACCTGGACGACGCTGTGCGCAGTAAAGGAGTCCAGACCGGAGGTCGGCTCATCGCATATGAGCAACGGCGGATCGGTGAGCGCCTCCGAGGCGAACGCCAAACGCTTTCGCTCCCCGCCCGACAGCCCCTTGACGCGTCCGGGCACACCAATGATCGTATGCTGGCATTTGCTCAGCGACAGCTCCTGGATGACCTGGTCGACGCGTGCCACACGCTGGCGATAGGTTAGCTGGCGCGGCATGCGCACCATCGCCTGAAAGATGAGATGCTCCCGTGCCGTTAGGGAGCCAATAAACAGATCATCCTGCTGCACATAGGCGCAGCGAGCCTGCATCTCCTTGGCATCCACCGGCTGGCCATTAAGCAGACGCACGCTCGACGGCGACACCTGCACGCCCTGCGGTGTCCTGAAGGCCAGGGCATTCAGCAGCGTGGTCTTGCCAGCCCCGGAGCTGCCCATCACAGCCAGCAGTTCGCCCGGATAGGCCACGCCACAGACTGTCGAATGGAATCACACGATTAGAGAGCTTAGAGGCAATTGTCACTCGGATACCTCATACCATTCTTAAGCAGATGCTTGCGTGGCGCCGGAATATGTCGCTCGTTGCAGAAGAGTCCACGCGTGCGATTCACCAGCTGACGCCAGCCGGAGCCCGGCTGATGCACAGCACCGAATATGTCCACATTGTGCCACGCATAGGTGAGCGTCTCTGGCAGCTGTGCATCATCGGATCCGCTCAAGGTGCCATAGTTCTTGGCCTGGCCAAAGCCTTGGCTTATGCAGCTCTGCGCTGTGGGCGCCACGGTTGTGCCTGCCGCTGCCGCCTGCTCCCCCTGCTGTGCCAGATAGATTTGGTTAAAAAGGTTTACAAAACTTTTCAATTTCGCGCGAATGCCCAACACTGGCTGGGTGTAAGGCTCGGGTCGCGTAAATCTTTTCAGCGTGCTAATCCGCGGCACGCCTACTTACGACCTTTTTCAGCGTCAAACTGTTCAAGTCTCATAAAAATGGCCAAACATTCAACCAAAACCCAAGACAGGACCATTTCGAATGTGCAAATTAGGACGCAGTCGGCGCAGCCGCTTGATCCGGGTTTGGCCGCGCTCTCGACTTGGGGTCCATTTGGAAGGTGACGCGCCGAGTGGCAAGTGAAAGTGCGAAAGTTTTGTCTGCAAATGTTCTGACCTTTCCCTTTCTCATTTTTGTTTTTAAATTTATTTTTCGAGTGCACCGAAGCCATTTGAATGGTTCGCCGCTTGGCTGAGTGTTTCGAGTGTCTCAGTGTCAAGTAATTGAGCAAATTGAGCATTTCGTAATTTATTTAGCATACATTGCGCATTTATTTTGCCTACATTCAACATTTTTACGAGCACAGCACATTTGCCAACTCAATTTCAAACCAGAATATTCTCAGGCATATTTTGGGTTGTTTGCAAAAGTAATCGCGACCCCTATACGATTGTTCTTTGCCTTACTTTATCAATTGTCTGACAAATGCAAGGGTTTGAACCAGCATCCTGGTTCGCATGCACGCAGCTTTCGTCACATTTTTGAGCACAATTATAAATGCTTTATCAACTGGAGAGTAAAAATATCATTTTATAATTAAATTATAATAAAATTTAATTATATAATGAGTTTTAAAAACTTCTGAATTTACAAATTTGAACAAACTCTCAAGCCTTGCCACATCCATCTTGTTGATAGACTATATAGTATATTTAGTATATATATATATATATATAGTATATAAAGTTTATATTGTGTATATAGTATACAGTATATATTCAGTGAACTGCTTGAATTGAGCTTTTGAAAAGTAGCTCGAATAGTCAAGTTCTCGAGAGTCCCAACATGGCGCTCTCAGCAAAAGTGGACACATATGGCAACTTCACATAGATAAATAAATTAAGAAAAACAATGTTATAACTTGATCAAATATCAACGAGAGCTCCACACTATCAAGGACTTTTTATCAGCCAAGTCTTAAGCTCTTTTAAATTGGCTCTTCAATCAGGACATTTCGAGCTGCATTTCAATTAACAGTTAAATGATTTGCTCACAAAGTTGCCAGACTTTTTAACTTGTTTGCCTGCCATTCGCATATCATTAGCGGGCATTTGCGATGCTTAAATAATATGCCGTTATCTACTTAGTTAAGGCAGTTAGTTCGTCTAGCGACATCTGGCGGCCGAAAACCGTAACGCCAGCGGCGTTGCCAGGCAGCTAAAAACAACGCAAAGTTAAGCAAAATAAAAGAAAAACAAGTAGAAAAAATTAAATAAATATGAAATTGTGAAATACAAGCTGGGGGCCTAAGAGCTAAAGCTCTGGCGCACTTCAGCAGCTCAGCTCGGCGCAGCAGACAGGCAACAGATAATACGGCAACACACACTTAAGAAACGCCAAGGAAGATGAAAACAACAACAACAACGACAACAACAACGACAACAACAATGAAGAACACAACACAGGCAAATAAATACAGGAAAAACTTTTTAATAACATTTTTCGGCCTCATTTGTTGTGAAAACAATTTTGCTTGGGCACACACTCTCTCTCTCACACACACACACACACACACCGCAGCACATGCCACCCACTGCTGGCTGCCACATGTAACGGATATTAAATTTTTCGCGTCTACCTCGACG